TGCAGGGAGTACCGCGCATGGGGTTGCAGGCTGGGTGGGGTGCAGGCAGAGGGTTGCATGTACATGGCTGTGGGTTTTGGGCTGCAGGCAGTGGGCAGAAGGATGCAGGCAGGGCCCGGGGGCTGTAGGCAGGGCCCAGGGGGCTTTGGGCATGAGGAGGCAGGCAGAGGAGTGTAGGCAGGGTTGTGCAGAACGTATCCCTCCCTGTGGTGTATCTGAAGGGAGGGCAGCAGCTCCAGGGCCTCCCTGATCTACTCTGGCAAGAGTTTCCCCTGCCCCGCTGTGCTATCTGGGCCCCGTTCTTTCATGGCAGAATGGGCAGAAATGTCAGCTGGTGGAATCAGGGGATGCACTGTGTGATGATGACTGCCTGCTGTCACCTGTAGCAGGTGATTCCTTCACAAGCTCATGAAGAGCCTGGCCAGGGACACAGTGACGCTGCTGAAAGGTGAAGCCAAGAGCAAAGGGCTTGACGTGCACACACCAGATCTGAAAAGGTCCTATCTCTCCCACAGCTCCGGTAGGCAGGGAGGCTGCTGTAGGACATTTGCCACCATTGCTGAAGGACATAGAGGACCATGGCAGACGCTGCTGGCCAGGATCAGCCCCAGGGCCAAGGCCGCAGAGGGTGCTGGCTAAGGCAGTTGGTGGGTCAGGATCAGCCAGGCACAGCCATGGCCATGGCTGAGCAGGGGACAGCTACACTTACAACCCAGCTCAGGAAGGGACCGAAGGGCCAGGGCTGAGCCCAGATGGGCTCCTGGGCCCATGGGCAATGAGCCTGGATCAGTCACAGCCACACCTCCCTCCTCCTTTGCACTGCAGCTGTATCCCCTCCTCAGCAGGATCGCAGGCTAAGGCATGGGGAGGGACGGCAGGGGAGCAGTTTTCTTGGGTAAATGTATTCAGCCTTTGCTGTCCTCATCCAGTCGCTGTGCAAGGCCATGACTTGTTCTTTTCACCGTGCTCTTGACCAACAGCCCTGCTGCATCCATGCTCACGGAGGGAGCAAAGGGGGAGGAGAGGAGGGAAGAGGACGGGAGGGAGCTGCCTTGGCTTTGCTCCGCATCAGCAAGTCTTTACAAAAATGAGATCTGACCATGCTGTTCCAATTCCCCCTCCACCTCACAGGTTTTCCTTTAACACCCGTGCGACGTTCCTGAACTCCGCCTTCTCCACCTTCATCCCATCAGGGGTAACATACAGCTGGGCAAAGCCTTAGGAGGTGCTGGCCAGCAAAAGCGTGCGAGGTGGCCCCAGACGGGGCTTCTGGCCCCAAAGGCATCAAGGTGGCCAGGGCTTCTAGCCCCAAAGGCCTCAAGGTGGCACAGGAAAGGTCACAGTTGCGATCACCTGGTTTTGGGAGCCCTGGAAACCACCACCACTGGGTTGCCATCATTCAGGCATCACGCTGGTTTTGATCTTCTTTGCCTTTCACCAATCTCTCCTCCACTTCCCTTTGGTTTCTGGATCTCACCATGCTTGTTGATCTCCTCCAAAAGCACCCTTCCCTTCCCTTCCAGGGAAACAATTTGCAGGCAAAGCACAACCCATGGCGAAAAACATCGATCAAAAGAGCTTAAAGTACAGCAAAAGCCTCAATCCCTGCAGACGTGTAAGTGCAACGGGGTGACCGGCTCCAGGTCAGGCAGCTGGAGCAGAAGGGGCTGAGTTTTATCACATCCTGCTGTCTTGCCAAAGCCATCTAAACACACCAGCTGCCAAGCTGCAGCCCAAGGAGCAATTTGCCCAGCCAGCACAAAGCCACAGGGCTGGGAGCAAGATTTATACAGAAGAGCAAAAAACAAAGTGCAAAGCTAACTGGGGGAAAAAAAAAATAAAAATAAAACACCCAAACCAAAACATTCAGTTTCCAGTTCTGCCCTTTTCCCTCAGCCACTGGGGAAAAACAGCCCCAAATATTTAACAGGCAAGTCATGGAGTGCAGCCCAAAAAAACAGAGGCAGCTCTGCAGCAGCCCAACGCAGGCTCCATCCTCTGGCACAAGCGGCGCCCCAGCTCAGACAAGGAGAGCTGAGGTTTCCCCATCCCGCTGGAAAACCAGAGGTTGCCACCTCCACCACAGAGCAGGGCAAGTGCTGACAACCACTGCAGCTGCCTAGAGTTTTCCTGTGCATTTGAGCAAAGTGCCTTTTTTGTTAAGTTTTTTGGTTAGTGGTTTGTTGTTTTGTGTTTTTTTTTTTTCTCAATGATTTCAAAGCCCCTAATTTTCAAACTA